AACATGGGGGCGTCTTATTGTCGGAAAAATACGGTAGCTCTGTGATACTCTATAAAGACCTCTGTTTCTAAGTTCTATGACTTGATTTTTTTAGCTATTTCATTAAGGCTGCATTCTGATAACCACTGATCAACTTTGGCCTTGTGAGGGATGAGGAAGGCCAATTCAACAGGAAAAGTGCTCCACCCAACTGGGGACAGACAACCCTTCTCTCCATTATGTATTCTACAAAATCGTTTTTCTCCCATTTACCCCTTCATGATCTACATCTCTTCTTGTTCCACATCTTGCATCCTAGTCTGCTTCAATCAACATTTGGGATTTTCTGCCACAAAAAGGTTGGTCCTTGTCTTGATGGCTTCTTAAAGAGTGATTTTAAACACTATTCACTAAGGAGAGGTTTATGAAAAATCATCTGACTCCTAAAAAAAAAAACCTTCACGTTTTAATACTATTTTCATCTTTTGTTAGTCAGACATCCTCCTCTCTGTACCTCTTAGTTCCTGCATTTGCTTTCCATTTGTCTAAATACAAATGAATTGGGAGTAGAAGCACACAAACACTTGTTCTCTCTCTCTCTCTCTCTCTCTCTCTCACACACACACACACACACACACACACACTCTATTCTTCCCCCACTGCAATCCTCATGCAAATCATATCATAACCTTTAAAAGTTGTGTGGGAGAGGAATTCTGAAGCTATATCTCAAGCAGAATTTGCACCACTGTTCCTTGTCTTCCACTATGAAAATTATACCCTTAGAGGCTTGTTTTCCTCGCTGTTGGGTCACCTTCCTGATGGTTCCCCTTCATTCCTGGCCTGTTTCCCCTCCCCAATTCCCTACCCTCTGCCTTACTCATTTCTCTAAATCTTTGCTTCAGTACAATTGATATGAGAAAAATAAACAAAATGGGACACTGAGTTACCATGACCTTTGTATCTGAACATTTCTATGGCGTTGATCATAAATTACATGCAAATGTTTGAAAAGAAATTTCGAGTCCTTTTAAATGAAAAGCAGATTAGGAATGCCATGATTAGCTTTGGATGGGTGCATAATTATTTTTGGCTAGGTAGGTAATTATTTTAATGCATAAAACCAGATTAAAAACTGGCACATTTCAGCCCGAGCACATCTATACAATGAATTCTGAACCTACTGGAGTGGCGTCCCCTCCTTTCTAAAACATTTATATCAGAAATGCAACGATAGCCCTCTCTCTGGATTCAGGTGGAGAAAACAAAACAAAACAAATCAACACAATGGGTCATACATCCCTTGACATGCTGGCCCAGAAGGCATCATTTTGCAACTGTAGTAGTGCACTATTATGCAAAATGGTGGAACTGATTAAGATGGGGGGGCAGTTCCTAAGTGGGAAATGAAAAGCAAAAAAAAAAGACGGAAGAAAAACTAAAGGAAAGAAACAGTGGAACTGGTGAGCAGAGTTGCATGCAACTAAAGATCCAGGCAAGGAGAGGGGATCTACCCTACAAACATTGCATCAGGCGTGTATCAACTGTAACCATTTGAATTATGCCAGGGTAACCTAGAAATTATAATGTAGGTGCTGTGATCCCTCTCCCTCTCTCCCCCTCTCCCATCCTATCTCTCTCTCTCTCTCTCTCTCTCCCCTCTCTCTCCCTCTCCCCCCCTTCTATCTATCTATCTATCTATCTATCTATCTATCTATCTATCTATCTATCTAT